ACGTCTTTAAATATACTATTATTGGGGACATGGGAATAAGAAAATCTTGCTTGCTTCATCAATTTACAGGAAAAAAAATTTGTGGCTGATTGTCCTCACATAATTGGTGTTGAACTTGGTACAAGAAAAACTGAAGTTAGTGGCCAAACAAATCAAACTGCAGATTTGGGATACAGTGGGACAGGGATGGTTTAGGGCTGTTCCATGAAGCTACTACAGAGGAGCTGCACACACACTTATGCTGTGTGATACACTAGAAGAAGCACATATAATCACTTAAGCAGGTGTTTGACAGCTGTAAAGCATCTCATCATTCCAAACACTGGAATAATCCTAAGAGGAAATAAAGAAGATTTGGAAGGACAAAGAGATGTTACACATGAAGATGCCAAACACGGTGCTGAAGCAAACAGCTTGCTGTTCTTGAAGCAAACACAAAAACGGGAGAGAATGTAGAAGGTCCTTTCCTTTAGGCTGCCAAAAAAATCTATCAGAACATTCAGGACGGAAACCTGGATCTGAGTGCTGCCGAGTCTGCTGTCCAACACAAATCCTCAGCCACACCCAGAAGCCAGGTGACTTGTGATCCCCAACCCCAGAGAGAAGGCTGTGGCTACTACTGACTTCTTTCTCTGGCCCCTCCTTTGACCTTTCACCTCTGTCTGTTGGAAACAATACTTTTTACTGCCTAATTGTCTTCTGTACATTTTACTGTTATTCTTTAAAAAGAATAACAAAAAAAGGAAAAAAGATTCTGTTGTGAAACAGTTTAACACAATACCGGACTGCTAAACAACTAGATGTCATCAGGTTATCAAAGGCATGTAGAGTAATGTATTTCTCCTGCATGACAAATCTAGATTTTTCCCCCTTCCTCATCCTGTGATAGCTCTGCCACTAATATATGCTTTGTTTACTCTATGGTTTATGTTGATAATAAACCTTCTCCCTATCTTTAACAGTTCAAGTATGCATGCCTGGTGAACCCATTAATTTTATCACTGTGAAATGACTTCTGATGGTAGAGATCTATAACAGCTCTTGTTTTTTTTTTTTTTTTTTTTTTGACAGGCAGAGTGGATAGTGAGAGAGAGAGACAGAGAAAAAGGTCTTCCTTTTGCTGTTGCTTCACCCCCTAATGGCCGCCACGGCTGGCGCGCTGCAGCCGGCGCACCATGCTGATCCGAAGGCAGGAGCCAGGTGCTTCTCCTGGTCTCCCATGGGGAGCAGGGCCCAAGCACTTGGGCCATCCTCCACTGCACTCCCTGGCCACAGCAGAGAGCTGGCCTGGAAGAGGGGCAACCGGGACAGAATCCAGCGCTCCGACCGGGACTAGAACCCGGTGTGCCGGCGCCGCTAGGTGGAGGATTAGCCTATTGAGCTGCGGCGCCGGCCTTGTTTTGTTTTTGTTGGATAAATTCCCTGTCGTGTGGGTGGCATTTTTCTGGATGAGATTTGTTTCTGTCTTAGCATTGCACAGGGAAAATGTTCGTTTATCTTTTCTCTCCTGCTTAATTAATAGTTTTATCTTTTTAAAAACCCATTTTATCCTTCTTCTTTAACAGAAAGTAAACATGTATAAAATTTGAAGGATGCAAAATAACAATACATTCTTTTTTGTGTGTGTTATATTACTGAGGAAATTTGATTACTGGCATCAGAATACTATAAAATACCAGCTTGTTGAGTATGACCAAATGTGACCATGTTACTCCTTCCATTTCACACAAGGAAATAGACACAACTGTATTTCCCAAGTAGTACTGGCTCCACCCCTTGGTGATGGCAGTCTTTCTGGGGGACATTAGGCTGGAAAGAACTCCTAGCATTAAAGGATTAATCCAGCCTAATTTAAGAAATCCCTTGTTTCCACAGTATGAGAGGACTATTTTATGTACTGTTGGCACAAATTGCTTAGTAACAGGGCAACTGTTTCTACTGGTGTTTCTTACAAGCATAGATCTGTAGTATACAGCCAGGTTGTTCTTTTTGCTCAAAATTGCTTTGGCTATTGGGAACGTTTTTTTTCCTCCATTCAGATTTTGATACTTTTTTTTCTAGTTCTGTGAAAACTAGAATTGCCAAAAAAGCAGTTTACAGATTCTAATGATATTGATTCTTTCAATATGTGAACATGATATATTTTTTTTCATTTTTTGTGATCAATTTCTTTCATGAATGTTTTGTGGTTTTCATTATAGGTGTCTTTCACCCTTCAATAAAATTTATTCCTAGGTATAATTTTTTGGAGCTATTGTAGATGGCATTTATTTCTTGGTTTCTTTTTCAGTTATCTCATTATTTATGTATAAAATGTAACTATTTATTATATGCTGCCTTTATATCTTGCTGTTCTGATGATTGTGTTTATTAACACTAACAGTATTTTGGCGGAGTCTTTGAGATTTTCTATAGATCATGGATTTGCAAACTGACAGAATTGACTTTCTCCTTTCCAGATTGGATATTCTTTATTCTTTCTCTTGCAAAATTACTCAGGCTTGGAATTTCAGTATTCTGTTGGCTAAAAATTATAAAACTGGGTCTCATTGTCTTAATCCAGATCTTAGAGAGAAATCCTTCAGTGTTTGCCCATTTCATTTGATGTCAGTGACTGGTTTGTTATATATGGTGTATATCATGTTCAGTCACGTTGCTTCTACACAGAATTTCTTGAGAACTTTTATCATGAAGAGGTGATTGTATCAAGTGTCTTTTTACATTTATTAAGATGACACTATGACTTTTGTCCTTCATTTTGTTTATGTGGTTTATCTTACTTACTGATTTGTGTAAGCTGAAACATCCTTGTATCCCTAGGATGAGTCCCACTTGGTCATAGCGAATACACTTTCTTTTTTAAAAAAATTTGTTTAAGTTAAGCAAGTTTCATGTTTTTCATATATACAAATTTACAAACATATTGACACTCCCCCCCTACCTTCCCTCCCACCCACACTCTAAATCCTTCCTCCTCCTCTCTTCATACTATTTGTTGAATTCTTTTACTTAGTGTAGGGTTAACTATACAATCATTAAGTAAACTGAAAATAGATCTGTAAAAATTAAGAGTGGGAATGTAATAGGGCATCTATCATTATTCTTATTTTTATTTTTTTGACTTAAACTTCATCTGTTTTAAGTATTGCTACTCTTGTTTCCTTTAAGAATCCATTTGCGTGGAATATCTTATTTCATTCTTTTTCTTTGAATCTATGAGTGTCCTTGAAAATGTGTCCTAGTGACACTAGTAATTATATAGTTAGGTCTTTTTTTTTTTTTAAGATTTATTTATTTACCTGAAAGTCAGAGTTACACACAGAAAGAAGGAGAGGCAGAGATAGAGAGAGAGAGATGTCTTCCATCTGCTGGTTCACTCCTCAGCTGGCTGCAATGGCCAGAGCTGCACTGATCCAAAGCCAGGAGCCAGGAGCTTCCTCCAGGCCTCCCACGCAGGTGCAGGGGCCCAAGGACTTGGGCCATCTTCCACTGCTTTCCCAGGCCACAGCAGAGAGCTGGATTGGAAGAGTAGCAGCCAGGACTAGAACCTGTGCCCACATGGGATGCAGGTACTGCAGGCGGCGACTTTACCTGCTATGTCACAGCGCCAGCCCAGTTTTTTTTTTTTTTAAATCCATTCATTATATGCCTTCCAATTGGAGAATTCAATCTTCATTTTTAAGATAATTACTGGTATGCAATCTCTTATGCCTGCCATTTTGATACTCATTTTCTAGTTTACTGTACTTTTTTTTCTTTCTTTCTTCAACGTTGATTTTTTTTTGTAGTTAGGTAATTTTCTCCAGTAGTGTTCTGACATGTTGTTTATTATTATTTTTTTAAGTGTATTGTATGTTTCATTGTTGTTACCACATGGTTACTAATTATTTTTTGGTATAAAAATCTATTTTCAAATGATATAAACTATACATGGACAATAAAGATAGAAAATGAAGAGTAAAATAAATAAGTAAATAAATATTTATTTACGTTAGGCCGGCGCCGCGGCTCAATAGGCTAATCCTCTGCCTGTGGCGCTGGCACCCCGGGTTCTAGTCCTGGTTGGGGTGCCAGATTCTGTCCCGGTTGCTCCTCTTCCAGGCCAGCTCTCTGCTGTGGTCCAGGAGTGCAGTGGAGGATGGCCCAAGTGCTTGGGCCCTGCACCCCATGGGAGACCAGGAGAAGCACCTGGCTCCTGCCTTCGGATCAGCGCGATGCGCTGGCTGCAGCACGCCTGCCGCGGCGGCCATTGGAGGGTGAACTAACGTCAAAGGAAGACCTTTTTCTCTGTCTCTCTCTCTCTCACTGTCCACTCTGCCTGTCAATAAATAAAAAAAATTAAAAAAAAGATTAAAAAAAAACTGTACATTTGCTCTTCATTCTTCACCCCATTTTGAATTTTAAGACCCATTCCCTGCCTATTACTATATTAACTTAGTCTTCATATTTGAGATATGACTGTTTTATGCATAATGTTTACCCTATTAGAGAATTCTGAATTCATCTGTATATTTACTCTTTTTTAATAGAAAGCTTTTATTTAATGAATATAAATTTTGTAAGTACAACTTTTGGATTATAGCAGTTCTTCCCCCATACCAACCCTCCCACCCCCAAACCATCGCACTTCCCACTCCCTCTCCCATCCCATTCTTCATTAAGATTCATTTTTAATTACCTTTACGTATATTTACTCTTGCCAATGCCTTGTCTAGATCCTATTATTTTCATCTTCATCATTTGCTTTGAAGAACTCTCTCCCTTTACCACTAGTTGTAAGACAGATCTGGTGGTGATAAGTTCTCTCAGCTTTTGTCTGCCCTCCCAATATCTATCTTTCTTACATATCTAAAGGATATCTTTACATGTCTAAAGGATATATAAAGGATGTTTTGTTATATACAGTGTTTCTAGTTAGCAGTTTTCTCCCTAAGTAACAAGAAAAATCTCATCTCACTTCCTTGTGACCTTTAAAAGGTTTTTTTTTTTTTTTTTTTTGCCAATTAGTGTGCTGCCAATTGTATTGTGACATCTTTATGTGTCATTTGTTTCTTTTTCTGTAGTCTCCATAAGAATCTTCTCTTGGTGCTGGCATTGTGGTGTAGTAGATAAGCCACAGCCAGCAGCACCAGCAACCCAGTTCCAGCTCAAGTTCTGGCTGCTCCATTTTTGATCCAGCTGCCTGCTTATGCACCTGGGAAAGCAGCAGAATATACCCCAAACACGTGGGCTCTTACCACTCATGTGGGAGATATGGGTGAAATAACAGGTTCCTAGCTTCAGCCTGGCCCAGCCGCAGTGATTGTGGCCATTGTGGGGGTAAACCAACAAGTGGAATCTCTCTTTGTCTCTCCCTCTCTCTTCGTACACTGGCCTTTGAAATAAAAATAAATCTTTCTTTTGCAATTGTTAAAAAGTGTCAGAGGATTTGACTACACTGTTTTCTTAGATGCAGCCAACCCCATGAGGGCACCGAGAGCTGACGGCCACACAAGGCTCCCAACACACCCCACAGCTCCTCCTCAGTGGCGGGGGACGGGGAGATGGTTCTAGTCCATCTGCTGCCCAAACCTTCCTTAGCACAGAGACCTGGGCCTCCAGTTCTAGCCTTCCCGCTCTGTTCCCGAGCATCTGTAGAGCGTCTCCACACTGTTTCCTGTTTCCATGGGAGACCGTGGGGAGGAAGAAAAGCCACCCAGAGAAGGAACTCCGGGGTGGCTCACACACCTGAAGTGTGGGGGAGGAGGCCGGAAGTGAAGGGGCGGGGATTGGTGAGGAGGCAGGGCTCACTCACCGGAAGTGTGGGGGAGGAGGCCGGAAGCGAAGTGTTGGGGATTGGTGAGGAGTCCAGAAGACAGATGGTGAAGGCGGATTTTCACTCAGGGCTACCTGGGGGACTTTGGTGGAGGCACTCGGCTGTTTCATCTGGCTGAGACTCGGTCGTCATCAGCGAGCTGAGAACTCTGCATGAAGGTGTGAGTTTTCAGGAGGACAGTTTGCGGGCTGTGCTTGGGACGAGGGGTGGAGAGGCAGGGCTGGAGGTGGGCCTGGCCGCCAGGGCTTCTGCCCCTCTGCCCTCTGCCACCTCAGGACTAACCTGGCTGACGGGGCGGGAAGATGGATACCACTGCGAAGATTCCTAACCCTGTGAAGACCCTGCAGGAGGAGGCAGTGTGCGCCATCTGCCTCGATTACTTCACAGACCCTGTGTCCATCCGCTGTGGGCACAACTTCTGCCGAGTGTGTATAACTCAGTTGTGGTTCAGGCAGGATGAGGACGGAGAGGAGTTAGAATGGGAAGAGGAGGAGGGGGAGGAGGGGGAGGAGGGGGAGGAGGGGGAGGAGGAGGAAGAGGAAGACATTGAGGAGACTGTGGGGGCCAGTGTTGGATTGGAAACGCCCATTGTGGATGATGACTTGCAGCGTGCCATGGAGGAGGAGTTTGAGGGGCCCATTGGAAACAGGGAGTCCAACTGGGATTCCGTGTGGGGGGAGGAGGAGGAGGAAGAGGAAGATCAGGACGTAGTGGACATGCAGGAGGAGCACCTCAGTTGGGAGGATGAGGAGGAAGTTCTGGCAGAGGGTGAGGAAGAGGAGCTGGACCCCGCCGCCCCACTGTCTCCTCCTCCAGAGCTTCGGAGGTGCTTCACTTGCCCCCAGTGCCGAAAGAGTTTCCATCGGTGGAGCTTCCGCCCCAACCTGCAGCTGGCCAACATGGTGCAGGTGATTCGGCAGATGCACCCAAACCCTGCCCAAGGGAGCCATGTAAATGAGCAGGCCATGTGTCCCAAACACCAAGAAGCCCTGACGCTCTTCTGCAAGGTAGACGAAGAGGCCATCTGTGTGGTTTGCCGTGAATCTCGGAGGCACAAACAGCACAGTGTGGTGCCGGTGGAGGAGGTGGTGCAGGGGTACAAGGCCAAGTTGCAGGGGCATCTGGAACCCCTAAGGAAGCACCTGGGGGAGCTACAGGACATGAAAGCCGAGGAGGAGAGGCGGTTGGCAGAGCTAAACAGCCAGATGGATTTAGAGCTGGCAGGTGCAGCCTCCGAGTTTGGGCAGCTGACCGAGTTTTTGGAGGAAGAGCAGGCACATCTGCAGTGGCTCATCCAAGAGATGTACAAAGCAAAGATGGGAAGAGCTAGAGCCAATGTCAACCACTTCTCAGAGCAGTTTACCAAACTGAGTGGCCTGCTGGCTGAGGTCCAGGAGCGGAGCCAGCAGGGAGGCCTACTGCTTCTCCAGGAGACTCTCAAAAAGTGTCAAGAGGTATTGCAGCAGCCCCCAAAGATCTTTCCCCCTGAAATATCCCAACCCCTTGGTGATGACTTCAGGACAGACGCCATCGTGAGGAAAATGAGCCGAGTGTTCTGTAAGGATACAAGAGTGAACCTGAAGCCAGATCCTGATGCAGCTCCTCTGGCTCCGAATCTGTCCACCGATTCCTGTGATCCACCTGGTGGAGAGGCGGCAGGAGGTTTTTGACCATCCCTACACGTTCTCAGCCCTCAGCTAACTGTTGTGTACTGGGGTCCCAGGACTTAGCTCTGGCTGTCATTCTCTAGCTGTCACTACTGGGAGGTAATGTTTGATGGAGGGGTTGGACTATCTGCGCTGCTTCTGAATCAACCCATCCTATGGAGGTTGGATTCTGAGAGGACCTCTGTGGACATTGTGGATGCCAGCTCCTCACATCATTTCAGTGGATGACATCACTTTCCCAGCAGCCCCTGCTACAGCAGCTAGTGTGATGTGTGTACACCATTGGCAGCTGTCTATGCTCAGAGCTCAATTGAGCAGATATTGCTGAGCCTGAGTGAGAAAACATAGAGCTTTGGAAAATACCTGTACTGTGAGTTGGAGCACGTGGGCTTCCACAACATGGAGATTCTAGCCCACCTGCACAGCTTCTTGCCTGGTTTCCTATGTTAGAGTGTCTTTCCTTTATTCCAGCTCCTCTCCAAACTCATCTGCACCGAGCTCTGCCCTTGATCAGCCAGTCATCTGTAGGTGCTCCTTATATCATCTCTCATTTCTGCTTGGGTGGGTGGTCGGTGGTGGGTGGTGGTGGAGGCTGTCCTATAAGTTTATGTTCTCAAAAACACCTCCCACTATGTTTCTGCGTTGCCTCTGGCTGTTCATTGAATCCTGTCTCTCTCTCTAGGAGCATAAAGACCCTCCTGTCCTCCGTTTCAGCCTTCTCACCTACTGTGTCTGTCCAGCAGGGTCTGCATGGGGATCCCTGATAATGAGATCAGCTGTCTGGTTTTCCCTGTATATTTCAGTCTATCCCTGGGTATGAGTTTGAGTAGGGGATGGGAGCAGATTGTAATTTTATTCCTTAACTTCCTTTTCCCCCAACTGCTCTTCCTTATGTCAGCCCTGAAGCTGGAGGGTTTGGGCAACACAGCATCCCCATTCCAACTCCATTTTCGGGTGCAAATTTTAACTAAAGGATGTGAAATACTTTTTGAGGAGGCAGGCTGCACAAAAGGGCAGACCTGCGTAAAGAAATTCCCACTCTCCTCAGAAAGCTGAAGGGATTCTAAACTTTCCTTCCATCCTGAATTTTTACCTGCATAGAACAACCAGAACTTAGCTTCAGTGACACATCTGGAATGGTCAATATGATTGAAATTGTGTAACATTATATAACCCAGGAAGTTATTTTCTCCTCCTTCCTTTTCCCAGTACTTGAATCTTTTTACAAGCTTACTCCATCCTACCCCCTCCACATCTTCTCACAGCCAAACTTCCTTTCTCTTTATTGCAGTTGCTTTTGTTAGTTTTCCGCCTGTCTCTCTGCCTTTTCATTCTCTTCATGTGACAAGCTGTGTCCCTGCTGAAACGCAAGTAACGTGTTCATGCCTGATCTCATCTGATCTTGGAAGCTAAGCAGGGTTGGGCCTGGTTACTACTTGTCTGGGAGAAATCACAGTATTTGATCTTTTATGTTAGGTTTCTTTAATTTGAATTCACTTTTGAGATATAGTTGAGCTGTACATGCATTGGTAATTTGTTACTTTTCATTACTGAGTGGTGTTGCATTACATGAGTCTACCTCAGTTTATTTATCCTTTAGCAATTGTTAAACATTTTGGTGATTACAAAGTTTGCCTGATATAAGGGAAGCTCCTGTGAGCATTTCATTAGGAGTCCTCTTGGGTGCAGAAGTTCTCATTTCCGTTGAAAGTCTGTCTAGAATTCTGTAGCACTAATATTACTGAGTTATACTGTAAATTTATCTCTGAAATGAAATTCCTAACTCTTATGTAAAGTCAAAGTACATATTTTCTTTCCTAGAAACATGATGTGAAAATTCCAGATATGATATGTATTTTTTCTAGTTTATGTGCTTTCTTTTCATGTTCTTAGTATCTTTTAAAGAGGAACACTTTTATTTATTAAACTTGATACATTTTCTAATTCATAGCTTCTGATTTTTGAATCCTAAGAAATTTTCATACATTCTCTGATATTCTATAGAAGTTGTATAAAATGGGATATTACATTTATGTATCTGGTTCTTTTGGACTTATTTGTTAAATATGTGAAAGAATGTCAGAGGTTTGTGTGTTTGCATGCTGAATTCTTACTGTTTAAACACTTTTCCTTCAATAAAATGCCTTTTCCTATTGAATTACCTCAATATTTTACTGTAAAAATCAGCACATATATGCTAGTCTCAGTTTGGACTCTGATATATTTATGCTAGGAACACAGTGATATGATTAGTAATAGTTTTCAATTAAGTCTTTAAAATAATCTTATTTTTTTTAACTTTTATTTAATGAATATAAATTTCCAAAGTACGGCTTATGGATTACAATGGCTTCCCCCCCATAACGTCCCTCCCACCCACAACCCTCCCCTTTCCCACTCCCTCTCCCCTTCCATTCACATCAAGATTCATTTTCGATTCTCTTTATATACAGAAGATCAGTTTAGCATATATTAAGTAAAGATTTCAACAGTTTGCTCCCACACAGAAACATAAAGTGAAAAATAATAGATGATTTTTAAAATGATGATGAAATCAGATCAGACCTATTGTCATGTTTAATCCCAGTGAGAGTCAAGTTGGGAATTGATAATTTCTTTTTTTCTTTTTTTACAGAAGTTCAGTTTAGTATACATTAAGTAAAGATTTCAACAGTTTGTACCCCCATAGAAACACAAAGTGAAATATACTGTTTGAGTACTCATTATAGCATCAAATCTCAATGTACAGCACATTAAGGACAGAGATCCTACATGAGGAGTAAGTGCACAGTGACTCCTGTTGTTGACTTTACAAATCGACACTCCTGTTTATGGCATCAGTAATCTCCCTATGCTCCAGTCATGAGTTTCCAAGGCTATGGAAGCCCCTTGAGTTCTCCGACTCTTATCTTGTTTAGACAAGGTCATAGTCAAAGTGGAGGTTCTCTCCTCCCTTCAGAGAAAGGTACCTCCTTTGAAGACCTGTTCTTTAAACTGGGATCTCACTCACAGAGATCCCTCATTTAGGTAATTTTTTTTTTTTTTTGCCAGAGTGTCTTGGCTTTCCATGCCTGAAATACTCTCATGGGCTTTTCAGCCAGATCCGAATGCCTTTAGGGCTGATTCTGAGGCCAGAGTGCTGTTTAGGACATCTGCCATTCTATGAGTCTGCTGAGTATCTCGCTTCCCATGTTGGATCACTCTCCCCTTTATTTATTCCAGCGGTTAGTATTAGCAGGTACTAGACTTGTTTATGTGCTCCCTTTGACTCTTAGTCCTTTCATTATGATCAATTGTGAACTGAAATTGATCACTTGGACAAGTGAGATGGCATTGGTACATTCCACCTTGATGGGATTGAATTGGAGTCTCCTGGTATGTTTCTAACTCTACCATTTGGGGCAAGTCAGCTTGAGCATGTCCCAAATTGTACATCTCTTCCCTCTCTTATCCCCACTCTTATGTTTAACAGGGATCACATTTCAGTTAAATTTCAACACTTAAGAATAACTGTGTATTAATTACAGAATTAAACCAGTCATATTAAGTAGAACAGACAAAAAAACTAAGAGGGATAATGTATTAAGCTGTTCATTAACAGGGCTATGCTGATCAAGTCACCGTTTCTCATAGTGTCCATTTCACTTCAACAGGTTTCCTTGTTGGTGTTCAGTCAGTTGTCACCGATCAGGGCGAACATATGGTATTTGTCCCTTTGGGACTGGCTTATTTCACTCAGCATGATGTGTTCTAGATTCCTCCATTTTGTTGCAAATGACTGGATTTCGTTGTTTCTTACTGCGGTATAGTATTCTAAAGAGTACATATCCCATAATTTCTTTATCCAGTCTACCGTTGATGGGCATTTAGGTTGGTTCCAGGTCTTGGCTATTGTGAATTGAGCTGGAATAAACATTAGGGTTCAGACCGCTTTTTTGTTTGCCAATTTAAATTCCTTTGGGTAAATTCCAAGGAGTGGGATGGCTGGGTTGTATGGTAGGTTTATATTCAGGTTTCTGAGGAATCTCCAAACTGACTTCCATAGTGGCTTGACCAGTTTGCATTCCCACCAACAGTGGGTTAGTGTCCCTTTTTCCCCACATCCTCGCCAGCATCTGTTGTTGGTAGATTTCTGTATGTGAACCATTCTACCCAGGGTGAGGTGAAACCTCATTGTGGTTTTGATTTGCATTTCCCTGATTGCTAGTGATCCTGAACATTTTTTCATGTGTCTGTTGGCCATTTGGATTTCCTCTTTTGAAAAATGTCTATTGAGGTCCTTGGCCCATCTCTTAGGTGAGTTGTTGGTTTTGTTTTTGTGGAGTTTCTTGATCTCTTTGTAGATTCTGGTTATTAACCCTTTATCTGTTGCATAGTTTGCAAATATTTTTTCCCATTCTGTCGGTTGTCTCTTCACTCTCCTGACTGTTTCTTTTGCAGTACAGAAACTTCTCAATTTGATGCAATCCCAATAGTTGATTTTGGCTTTGACTGCCTGTGCCTCCTGGGTCTTCTCCAGAAATTCTTTGCCTGTGCCAATATCTTGAAGGGTTTCTCCAATGTTCTCTAATAACTTGATGGTGTCAGGTCTTAGATTTAGGTCTTTAATCCATGTTGAGTGGATTTTTGTGTAAGGTGTAAGGTAGGGGTCTTGCTTCATGCTTCTGCACGTGGAAATCCAGTTTTCCCAGCACCATTTATTGAATAGACTGTCCTTGCTCCAGGAATTAGTTTTAGATCCTTGATCAAATATAAGTTGGCTGTAGATGTTTGGGTTGATTTCTGGTGTTTCAATTCTATTCCATTGGTCTATCCATCTGTTTCTGTACCAGTACCATGCTGTTTTGATTACAACGGCCCTGTAGTATGTCCTGAAATCTGGTATTGTGATGCCTCCGGCTTTGTTTTTGTTGTACAAGATTGCTTTAGCTATTCGAGGTCTCTTGTGTCTCCATATGAATTTCAGAACCATTTTTTTCCAGATCTGAGAAGAAGGTCTTCGGTATCTTGATTGGTATTGCATTGAATCTATAAATTGCTAATGGGAGAATGGACATTTTGATGATGTTGATTCTTCCAGTCCATGAGCATGGAAGATTTTTCCATTTCTTGGTATCCTCTTCTATTTCTTTCTTTAAGGTTTTGTAATTTTCATCGTAGAGATCTTGAACATCCTTGGTTAAGGTTATTCCAAGGTATTTGATTGTTTTTGTAGCTATTGTGAATGGGATTGATCTTAGAAGTTCTTTGTCAGCCATGGCATTGCTTGTGTATACAAAGGCTGTTGATTTTTGTGCATTGATTTTATATCCTGCCACTTTTCCAAACTCTTCTATGAGTTCTAATAGTCTCTTAGTAGAGTTCTTTGGATCCTCTAAGTAAAGAATCATATCGTCTGCAAAGAGGGATATTTTGACTTCTTCCTTCTCAATTTGTTCCTTTAATTTCTTTTTCTTGTCTGATGGCTCTGGCTAAAACTTCCATAACTATGTTAAATAGCAGTGGTGAGAGTGGGCATCCCTGTCTGGTGCCAGATCTCAGTGGAAATGCTTCCAACTTTTCCCCATTCAATAGGATGCTGGCCGTGGGTTTTTCATAAATTGCTTTGATTATATTGAGGAATGTTCCTTCTATACCCAATTTGCTTAGAGTTTTCATCATGAAAGGGTGTTGAATTTTATCGAATGCTTTCTCTGCTTCTATTGAGATAATCATATGGTTTTTCTTCTGCAGTCTGTTAATGTGGTGAATCACATTGATTGATTTGCGAATGTTGAACCATCCCTGCATACCAGGGATAAATCCCACTTGGTCTGGGTGGATGATTTTCCTGATGTGTTGTTGTATTCTAATGGCCAGAATTTTATTGAGGATTTTTGCGTCTATGTTCATCAGGGATATTGGTCTATAATTTTCTTTCAGTGCTGCATCTTTCTCTGGCTTAGGGATTAAGGTGATGCTGGCTTCATAGAGAGAATTTGGGAGGATTCCCTCTTTTTCGATTGTTCTGAATAGTTTGAGAAGAAATGGAATTAGTTCTTCTTTAAATGTCTGGTAGAATTCAGCAGGGAATCCATCTGGTCCTGGGCTTTTCTTTGTTGGGAGGGCCTTTATTACTGTTTCAATTTCTGTTTCAGTTATTTGTCTATTTAGGTTTTCTATGTCTGCATGGTTCAATTTAGGTAGATTGCATGTGTCCAGGAATCTATCCATTTCTGATAGATTTTCTTGTTTGCTGGCATACAAGTCCTTGTAGTAATTTCTGATGATTCTTTTTATTTCTCTTTTGGTTTCTTCTGTGACCCACTGTTCATTCAGTAGCAAGTGTTCACTTTCCATGTGTTTGTATATTTTCTAAAGATTTTTAAATTGTTAATTGCCAGTTTCATTCCATTGTGGTCAGAAAAGATACGTGGTATGATTTCAATTGTTTTTCGCAGGCAGAGTGGATAGTGAGAGAGAGACAGAGAGAAAGGTCTTCCTTTGCCGTTGGTTCACCCTCCAATGGCCACCATGGCCAGTGTGCTGCAGCCGGCGCATCGCGCTGATCCATAGCCAGGAGCCAGGTGCTTCTCTTGGTCTGCCATGCGGGTGCAGGGCCCAAGTACTTGGGCCATCCTCCACTGCACTCCCTGGCCACAGCAGAGAGCTGGCCTGGAAGAGGTGCAACCGGGACAGAATTCGGCGCCCCGACCCGGACTAGAACCCGGTGTGCCGGTGCCGCAAGGCGGAGGATTAGCCTATTGAGCCATGGCGCTGGCCCTTCATAGTCTTTCATAATGCTGACTACATTTCTATATTTCTGTGTGTAGCTCATTCTTAATCATCATTTGTAAGGCTGGACCTGTGGTGAAAATTTCTTTCAGTGTCTTTTTGTTATGGAAGTTCTCTATTTCTCCTTAATTCATAAATGAGAGCTTTGCAGGGTATAGTATCTGGGTTGACAGTTTTTTTTTTTTCTCTTAAGACTTGCATTCTCTGCATTTTTTCTTAGCCTGTATGCTTTCTGAAGAAAAATCAGCTGTGAGTCTAATTTGAGATCCTCAGAAGATAATCTGTCATTATCTCTTGGGCACATTTTGGAATTTTTTTGTTATGTTTTTCTTTTGAAAGTTTTCATACAATGTATTGTTGTGATAATCTTTTCTTGTCACA